GGCAACGTTTCCGAGCTCGAACGGATCATTCAGCGCTGAAGTGGCTACTACAGTTCAAGAATCCAGAAGGACAGCTAGCTCGGTGGAGTGAGAGACTGCAAAGTTATGACTTCACTATTAAGCACCGCAAGGGAAGTGTCCACGGAAATGCTGATGCCATGTCCCATCGACCATGTAGCCTGGAATGTAAACACTGCTCAAAAGCTGAGGCCATTATTGACGTCCGGGTAACGACAATAACACCAGTGGAGAAGTGGAGCTACGAAAGTGTCAGCTGGAAGATCCAGAACTGGAGCCTTTGATGCATGGACTGGAGGCGGACAGACGGCCAACTAAGGATTAAATGGCAGCAGAGAGCCCAATCGCAAAGGCATACTGGGACCAAGGTAACAGCTTGAAGTTCATATCTGGCTGTTTGCATAGGGTATGGGAAAGTGAAAATTGCCAGTGCTCCCTCAATTTAATAGTAGTTCCGAGGGTAAGAGTTCCGGATGTTCTCAAGGAATTTGACAATGGTCCCAGTGGAGGGAACCTGGGAACCACGAAGACCCTGGAGAAGATCAAGCAGAGGTGTTATTGGGTTGGTTGTCCGCAATCGGTCGCAGAGTGGATTGCTAACTGCGCGGAGAGTAAGGCAGCTAAAGGCCCGAAGTCCAGAAGTCATGGCCAGATGAAGCAGTATAACTCAGGTGTACCATTCGAACGGATTGCCATGGATGTAGCCGGTCCATTTCCTATGAGCGCACAGGGAAACAAATACGTCCTTGTGGTTATGGACTACTTTAGCAAATGGCCGGAGGTGTACCCTAGTCCAAACCAGGAAGCTAAAACAGTAGCAGAGGTACAGTTGGGTTGCGAGATACCGTGTACCTATAGAGCTGTACTCTGACCACGGAAGAAATTTTGAATGGGCGATGTTCCAAGAGATGTGCCAGATACTGGGTATTCGGAAGACCCGAACAACGCCTCTACATCCCCAATCATATGGCATGGTGGAACGGTTCAATCGAACCCTGGAAGAGCATTTGCGGAAGGTCGGGGACAAGAATCAAAAAGATTGGTATGTTCGCATACCCTTGTTCCTGATGGGATACCGGTCAGAAAAGCATGAAACCACGGGTAAAACTCCTGCCAAGGTAATCTTCGGCAGTGAACTCCGTTTGCCTAGTGACCTGAAGTTTGAAGTAAGTGGTGATGCAAGAAGAATTGGGAAAGAGACGTCCAACATCCTGGAAGAGGAGCTGAGAGAGATACATGCTCTTGTGAGACA